AGAGTATTTCAAGTTTGAGTTACAACAAGAACAAGATTAGAAATCTATTATGCGATCAGTTCGTGAATTATTGTCTAATATAGTATATTTGCACTAGTCGGATATTTTCTTATTTATAAATTATTTAATTTAATTTAAAATTTCAAGGACCCGTATAAAAATTATGAATCCCACGTAACTTTTTGTTATTTGTTGGATTATTTCCATACAGATCATGAGCACTTCTACTATGCTATATAGTATTGGTGCTTTAATGTACAACTTAAAGTTGTACCATAACATTAAATGTATAAGTTTAGGTTGTACCATAAAGCAATTTGTACCATTATGTGATGGTACAACTTTACAACTTGAAGTTGTACCATCACATAAAGGTACAAGTTCAAGTTGTACCATAAAAGAATTTGTACAAAAAGTATAGGTACAATCTGAAGTTGTACCATAACGTAAATATACAATTTTAAGTTATACCATAAAGGCAAAATCCTATAGCACCAATACTATATAGCATTGTAAAATTTCTCTACAGATCATAAGTGCATTCTCCAACACTTCTGCTACCTCCCGAGTTTGTAAACTCTACGGAATTTGTATCCTGGTTCTAGGATCTCTAGCCCTGAAATTCTTGTATGCTCATCCTTTTCCTTTCATCACCTTAATATGGTTAGGGGTAGAGGATACGTTGCTCGACGCTCGACGCTCTCGAGTAGAGGATCTCTTTAATGGCGAAAACAACCTCAAAATAGCTACGAAACTACTAAACTAAACAAAAGAGTAATCAAAGCAAACAAACGTAAATTGAGTTCTAATCTTCTTATACTATTATTTACAGACAATGTCTCTATTTATAGAGTTACACAACCGAATCCCTTTCCTTCTCACCCAAGATTTTAGTCTCTCTCCTTATCCTTTTTCTATTAGAATTCTCTTTCTTCCCTTACAAGAACATTAATTGAATACTAACACATTTTCTAATCCAAGTAGAACAATTAATTCTAATATTCCCAAATAATTACTTAATATGAACTAATAAGAAAGAATATGCAAGCCTAGTAATTGATTAAATGCAATGATAGCTCTATCCTGTAACAAAGACAGCCGCGTGGTTTCGGCTGCGGCCCCTAGAAATGAACAATGCTGGCTAATGCCTAATGGTTTTCACTTAGACAGGAACCTGCAACTCTCCAAAATGACAAAAACATGGATGATTAATTAATACAAATTTAAGTGTATAATGTTTTAATTGTCATTCTATATCATGGGATACTCAATCTGATTTGACCTAGACAATCCAAATTGAAATCGATTTTGACGAGTTTTGAGTAGACAACTAGTTTTACACGCTTCTGTAATTCATGAATTAGGTCAGTGTGGATTTTATCATTTTTTAAAAAAAAATTAATTAATCAAAATTTCAGTGTATATGATTTTTAAATGTCGTTCAAATTAATGGGTACTAAATCTAATTCGACATGGACAACACGAGTTGAACCCGGTGTTGACGAGTTTCGGATCGGGAGTTAATTTTACCTTCTATTGTAATATACGTGTTGGGTCGGGGTGTAGATTTTGCTAAAAACTCGGTATGCTTTCCATCTAACTCGCACCTAAAAAATAAAATAATCTAGGTCAAAGATTATTGAATCATCCTAATTCTATCCGAACAATGCGAGTTAAACCCGATGTTGACGAGTTTTGGGTCGGGAGCGAGTTTTACCCGCTTTTGTAATTGATAGGTTGAGTAAGTTGGGAATTTTGTTAAAAACTCGATTTGCTTTTCCATATTACTCTCACCTAAAATATAAAACAATCGACTCAATCAAAGCCGGTTGAATACGGTGTTGTTGAGTTTTTGTTCGAGAGCGAGTTTTACCCGCTTTTGTAATGAACGGGTTGGGTCGGATGTCAATTTTATTAAAAACTCGACCGCTTTCCATCTGACCCGCACCTAAAAAATATAATAATGACCCGGTCAAAAGGGGATCAATTCGATATTGACGAATTTTGGTTCGAAAGTGAGTTACATTTTACCCGATTTTGTAATTAACAGGTTGGGTCGGGTGTTGATTTTGCTAAAACTCGTCCCACTCAATCAAAATTGTAGTGCCATTTAAACTTCCATTATATTTTCTTTTATGACAATTGAGCACAAATCCATGGGTATGAAACCTAATTCAATCGGGTCAAAACGAATTGAATACAGTGTTGACGAGTTTTAGGTTAGGAGCGAGTTTTATCTGCTTTTGTAATTGACAGGTTGGGTTGGGAAGTGAATTTTGATAAAAATTCGGTCTTCTTAATCAAAACTTTAGTGTCATTGCAACTTTAATTTCATTGTAATTTCTTTTTTGATAATTGAGCTCAAACTCATGAGTATTCAACCTAATTCAACCAGATCAAAGAGAGGCGAACCTAGTGTTGACGAGTTTTGAGTTAAGAAAACTTTTAAAAACTTGATTGTGTCGAGTATTGATTTTTTTAATAACTTGGTCTTCCTTCCATCTAACTCGTACTTAAAAAATGAATATATCGAAGCCGATATGGACGAGTTTTGGTTTGTGACCCGCTTTTGTAATCAACGGGTTAGATCCGATGTGGACTTTGTTAAAAATTTCACCCAATTTCCATTCGACTCAGACCTAAAAACATAACAATCGTCCCTGTCAAAGCGGGTTGAACTTTGTGTCGGGAACGAGTTTTGAGTCGGGAGTGAGTTTTACCCGCTTTTTTAATTGATGGGTTGGGTCGGGTGTGGATTTTGTTAAAAAATTCTTCCTCTTTCTATCCGAACCGCACCTAAAAAATAAAAAAAGACCCAGTTAAAAGCGGGTTGAACCTGGTATTGACGAGTTTTGGGTCAGGACCGAATTTTACCTGCTTTTTGATTGACAAGTGTGGGTTGGGTGTGAATTTTGCTAAAATTCGGCCCGCTTTTTATTTGACTTGCACCCAAATAACAAAACAACGGGTTGAACGTGGTGTTGATTAGTTTTTGGGGGGGCGAGTTTTATCAGACTTTCCATCCGACTCGCACAAAAAAAAAACAATATCAAATTTCTCGTATAACTTAATTTCTATACCTTTTGAAACACATTTCTATTGTGAAATAGTATAATATACATTGTTTGAAACCATTATGTGATAAATCGATAATGTTGATATCTATTTTGGTCACAACTTTTTCAATTTTGATAACTTCGTTCGGAATGATTTCTCGATGATTTAATTTTTTAACTTAATTTAAATACACGAGATTTTTCGTTTAGTTTCTTGATTCGACGATTGTAGTTTGCAAGGTTGTCATTGCACATTTGGGCTTCCATCCTAGTCCATTACAAAAAGAAAGTAACAAAAAAAGGGCGCTAGTGCCCATATATTCCGACTGAGCAACCCATTCGGTTTAGGGAAAAAATCCTAAAGTACCACTGTTTAAAAAAAGAATTTCAAAAATACCACCCAACCCCAAAAAATTCCAAAAATACACCCTTTTTTAAAAACCGCCACCCCACCCTGCGATTTACACGAAAACCGCTTGTCGAGGGCACGGTTTTCTATGCAAACCGCGGGGCTAAGGGGCGGTTATAAAAAAAAAATTGGACCAAACCACTGGGTGGGGTGGCGGTTTTGGGCAAAACCGCCACCCCACCCAGCGGTTTTGTCCAATTTTTTTTTTCCGATCAACTCCTAACTTCGGCCGAAACTTCAAACGAACGTAACTTTGCACTCGGGTATCCGATCGTAGCGATTTTTTTTTTCATTTCGCATGACTTTTCAAGATCTACAACTTTTACAAGGATGAAATTTTCAAAACAGGAATTATTTGTGGATATACGGGACCTTGGGAATAACTTTACCTTTACTTTTCAAAAATCCATGTACATTTTGAAATTATGATTATGTAAAAAGTTGTAGATCTTGAAAATTTATGCGGAATAAAAAAAAAATTCATGACATTCGGATTTGGGAGCACAAAGTTATGGCCGCCCAAAATTTGACGAAATCAAAAAAAGACTCGTTCGGGGTTGCAAATGATGTTTTTTTCGAGACGAAGGCGGGTCCCGGCGGTTCGCGGCTTCCAAGATCTCAAAAAGTTATTCGGATTCAATAAATGGAGGCCGCAAACTTTGTGAGATATTGCAAGCCGCAAACTGCCGGGTCTCGCCTTTCGTCAAACTTTGGGCGGCCACAACTTTGTGCTCCGAAATCCAAACGTCATGAATTTTTTTTATTCCGAATAACTTTTCAAGATCTACAACTTTTAATACAATCATAATTTGAAAATGTACATGGATTTGTGAAAAGTAAAGATAAAGTTATTCTCAAGGTCCCGTATATCCACAAATAATTTCTGTTTTGAAAATTTCATTCTAGTAAAAGTTGTAGATCTTGAAAAGTTATGCGAAATGAAAAAAAAAATCGCTACGACCGGATACCCGAGTGCAAAGTTACGTTCGTTTGAAGTTTTGGCCGAAGTTAGGAGTTGATCGGGAAAAAAAAATTTAGACCAAACCGCTGTGGGGTGGCGGTTTTGGGCCAAACCGCCACCCCACCAAGCGGTTTGGTCCAAAAAAAAATTTTATAACCGCCCCTTAGCCCCGCGGTTTGCATAGAAAACCGCGCCCCGACTTTTCGTGTAAACCGCAGGGTGGGGTGGCGAATTTTGAAAAAGGGTGGTATTTTTGGAATTTTTTGGGTTGGGTGGTATTTTTTGGAATTCTTTTTTTAAACAGTGGTATTTCTGGAAAATTCTCAACAGTAGACCAGAAAATTCTCAAATTCTCAACAGTTATAATTTGCATTCAAATATCGGCAGAGCTCGTTCGAATCAACTAGCCGTTACAACTCACAAATCCCTCACTCTTCCTCTCCACCTTTCTTTACCGAAGCCAAGATTTTCACATTCAACTTTCCTTTTCTTTCTCTGTTCTTTCGAGCACTGAACTCCAGATCACACTCAGCCATTGATTCAATTGAGACACTAACCTGAACCTTCTCCGAGCAAGAACCTTTCTACTTCTCCCTGTGGAGTGTCGATAAGCCGTCCAGCGAGCCCATGCTTGAGAAATTCAGAATCAACTGATCCTAAGAGGAGAAGCTTCGTGGGCAGCCCATTTCCTCGACCTTCCATCAACACCGGCCAGAGAGGCGGTGCTGGGGGCGGAAGAGGAGGCTTTCACCCTAACACCCCCGCTAATATCCTTCATGTTTGACTTTTGATCGCCCACTCCCCTTATAGTCCTTGCTTTCGTGAAGGTTGGTTGTTGACAATTTTAGTCAAATGGCTCCGTTTCTGCGCTTAGAAACTCGGAGAAATTGAGGGGAAAGAAAGGAACCTAGCTGAATCCGTTTTCTTTGGCTCGGAAAGGAGGGGATTCAGTTTTCAAAGTTCACTTCTTACCTGTTCGACATAATGCCCCACAGAACTACTTATCTCAAATGTTGAAACTGTAGAAAACGTGTTATAGCCAACCAACATATTACTGTCACCGACATTCTGTGTCAATTCCGGTTTCTAGGTTTGACATTGGCAAGCTTTTGGGATTTGATATTGACTAGTGAAAAGTATATCCTTTTGTGCATATTATTGTCCGAGAAGGTATTCCATAGGGCAAGGCTTCTCGCGATAATCACAAGAAGGAGAACGACGCAGACCAGATCAGGAAACCCAGTAAAGTTCAGTCACCGGCTGCTACAGTAAAAGGTAGTCAGAAGCATTTCATGTCTCCAACAATATCAGCAGCTTCAAAAGCTTTAGCAGTATCCTCCAGGAAAAAGGAGGTATTGGTTGAGCCCATTCGGACTTCCATTTCATTTTCTGGTGGAAAGCTACCTTGTATGGAAGGCTCTGTTACAAAGGGGCTGAATCAAAAGAAGGAAGTTTCCTTTGATTCAAATGTCACTTACCTGGGCGAGGACAAAGAGGAGGTCGTCCAGAGTGAAGAGGATTTGGACTCAAAGGTGGACAATTCTGGAACCGATGCTGATGGCATGGCTTCTTTATTGGAGACTGAGATCGAAGAGAAGGATCTGGTTAACTTGGACCCAAGTTTCAAAATGAGCACCAAACCTGGAGATCACAGTTCAACTTCCTCTTTGGCCTCTAGTGATGTGATGCCGCCATTATCACCACTTGATGCAGATCCATATATGGTCCCTTATGATCCTAAGACTAATTAACTCTCACCATGCCCTCGATTTCGTTGCTACAAGCCTAACTCTCGTGTCGAGCTCTATATTCAGAAGGGAAGGAGTGGGGATCTTAAGGATAGATTTTCAGCTGAAAGCCTTTCAAATGCCGAGGTAACTGAAGATGAGTTTTCTTCTGATGGTTTCCATATAGAAACGGATGACTTGTCTTCAGATGTTGCTTCTGATGATGGATCATATAAAAAGGAAGAGGAGGACATGGAAGTATTTGAAGCAGATCATCATACTAGTGCATCGCAGGCCACCAGTGAAGATGCTCAAGTTAAGAAAACGGTTGAGCGGCATGTCGTAACAAGAGCCAAGATCATTCCTATCCTTTTTATCTTGGCTTATGTCGGTTTTTACCTCTCCTTTTACAGCTCGGCAGCCATGGAACCCTCAGTTCTCAACAACTTGAACTTACCTGTATCTACCCCCCTCAACTCTCAAATTTTGCAAGAGAGCGTTTTGAGCAAGTGACACAAAGAATTCAGCCACTTCGGCATCGTTATGTATCCTACTTGCACAAGCTGATCCTAGGCTTCAGTCAGCGGCATAATATGGTAGCGTTGGAGTATGCGAATCTGACTTCTTTGCTGGAAGACAGATTAGTTGATGAAGCCAGTGTATTCTTCTCCAAAGCAGCCACGTTCGAAACTGGTTTGTCATGGCCTGTGACCGATGAAGGTGTAAATGTGGTGTCGGTGATGAAGAGGAGTCACCTTATTGAAGCCACTGAAGAAGTTGTCCAGGGTGATGTCCTTTACCAAGAATCTGGAGACCAAGAAGAGATTGAGGTGCTTGACCTTGATCTTTCTGTCCACCACACTTCTAATGAAGCTGAAGAAAAGAATATAGATGAACTTGTTGATAAATCATGTCTAGAGGCTGCACTGGTTGTTGGAGGACAAGACAATTCTGAACAGCTAGTACCAGACACCTTTTCTCAGGTTGAGGGCATCCCAGATGATAGCTCAGCTACATTGAAAGTTCCAGAAGCCATTATGAACACGCTGGCAGGCGCCCAAGAAAGGATTGAAATTCCACAGGAGGAGACTCTGGTTGCCAGAGAACTTGAAAGTGAACTCGATGTGACTTCTGCAGAAATTCAAGATCAGCCTATTACGAAGACGAGAGAAATGGTTGCTTCAGCACATGTTGTGGCAGGAATTGCTATCTTGCTCTTATCACCGGTCTTCTTGCAGTCATAGCTTTGTTTTATAGAAAAATCCCAAGGACCTTGCCTACAAGTGATGATGCATTAGCATCCCAGAAAGCCACACAGATGATAGAAGAGAAGGCCAGCCCAACGCATGCTCCCATAGAGCAGGATTCTCAATAGCCGATTCTATCCAGCAATTTGCTGACATAAATTGGGTACACCCGTGACGACATTAGCAGTTCTCAACCTGCTGCATCTTCTCACCGAAATGAGTTGTTGAATGCCAGAGGAACAAGTCAAGAAGCCTGGAGCCATGATAGGAGAGGCCAGAGGAATTATAGTAGAAGAGAATCATCCGCTTCATCAGGTGGCGGGGGTCACTCCATGGAGTCAAAGTCTTATGGAAGTTTCACTACCTATGAGAAATTTCCTGGCAAACATGTAAGTAGAAAACGTCTCTTATCTTTTCCCCCAACACGCATCGTGTTTGAGAGGTGTCAGACAACAAATCCTTATACACATGTCCTGTTCCCCCCCCCCCCTTTTTCTGTTTGACTTTTACAGCATAATGTGAGTGGAGAAGAAAAGGCAGTGATAACTCCAGTCAGGCGCTCTAGCAGACTGAGGAGCAAAGTGGGTTCCCCGGAACAAGTGACATGATGAATATGATGAACTAGGAGGAGAAGAACAAGTCATGGAGAGAAGTGTCCGCTCACCGTCTTGTTCCCGTGTATCTTGAGATGAGAATAGAGCCAGTGCTAACGTAACAAAAAATTTGATTGTTAACTTCTTTGTAGTGGTTTGAATTTGTTTGCACTTGCCCTAGATGTATCATCTCTACTCCATTATTATTTTTTCTTTTTTTTTTTTGGTAGAAAACTCCATTGTTCTTTGTAGTAGTAGAAGTTTCATTCTTATTAGAATGATCCGTTTGGGGAAGTGGTAGATAACCAAGATATTTTGATTGTTTACTTCATTCTAGTGATTTAAATTTGTTTGCACTTTTTTTGTCTCAGATGTATGATCTCTACTTTATTGCTCTTTGTAGTAGTAAGAGTTTCATTCTTACTAGAAAGTCTGCTGGCTTTTGTTTTGCGGGAAGTAGAAGATAACCAACTTACTTTGATCGGTAATTTCTTTCTAATGATTTGAATTTGTTTGCGCTTGTCTCAGATGTATCATCTCTACTCCATTGGTCCGGAGATGGATCCAAGATTTAACAATTGGGGGGGCCAAAGTTTTGTTTAATATGTTATCGTAAGAGATAAAAAAATATTATTTGTAAAAATATTTAAACAACCGCACAAACCTTTTTATATTAAATTAAATATATTTCATGGATAATAATTTCTCTTTATAACTTCAAACAATATGTTAACACTCATACGTATACTCACATTAAATAAGTGAAAATGTATAAAAATAATTCACTAGAATGAAGAAAATTAATTGATAATTTATAGACAAAATATATATGCATGTGTAATCAGGTGGGTTCGGGTTGGATAGTGAAGAAACCATGTCCACCCATTACTCGCAATATTTGCATTCGGGTTTTACCCTATCCGATTAGGTTGGATTCGGGCGGATATCCATGATTGCGGATATTTTTGTTATCCCTACACATATTCATCATCTACCTCAAATTATCTTTAAAATTGAAGTAATTAATTAGCTAATTTGAAATATAGTGCTTAATTAATTTAAATGAAAATTAATTGATTTACACTGACATTAATGAGTCTGGGTTTGAGGATGTGCAATGGATTTTTGGGATTATTTATTTTGTTAATATTGGTTTAATTAATAAAAGATAACTTGAGATTTTTTAATTTTTTATTTAAAATAATTTTGTATTTTAACTGTTTGCTCAATTTCGGAGTAAAGGTAGGCGGGAACAGAAATGGTAGTGGTAGTGGTAGTGGTAGTATAGTTCTAGGTTGATCATCTTCAACCGCTTGTATAGTGCATTTTATGGCTGAATTAATTTGTGTGTTTGATTGTACAGTGCCAGGTTTAGATTCTTTTAACTGTTTGCTCAATTCCTGAGAAAAGGTAGGCGGGAACCAACCTTCCTTGGCGGTGTTAGAACAACTTAATTGTTTTGTTAATGTTGCAGGTCTAGTGGACTTAGGGTATCACGGTTCTCCGTTTACATGGTCAAACAGGAGATCTGCAGATGCTCATATTATGGAACCACTCGACCGATGCCTAGGGATAGAGCTGGCCCTTTCCTCTTGGCCGGATATGAAGGTAATCCATTTGACCGATTTGGGTTCCGATCACCGAATGTTATTGTTGTAGCTTACAAACCAGCTTTGTTGTTCCCACAATCGTTTTCACTATGATGGGCGTTGGAACACTAACACAGAAGCTCTTGAAATCATTAAAGTGGCGTGGTGTAAGGAGATTCGAGGCACTCTACAATTTCGCTCGTTTAACCAACTCAAGGAGGTTCGACATGAGCTTATTGGTTGGGCAAGATTTGGTACTTCCAATTCGGCCCTGGCAAATCCATGAGTTTAAAAATGCAATTGAAGAAGCTCGTGAAGCTGCGGTGGTGTATTGGGAGGTAATCAAGGGGCTCGAGTAGCAACTGTCTAAGGCATACAAGCAAGAGGAATTGTTTTGGAAGCAAAAGTCCCGAATCCAATGGTTACAAATCGGGGATGCGAACACGCAGTACTTCCATATTGTTACTAAGCAACGTCGTCAGTGTAATCGAATCATGGGGCTTCGAGATGAAGATGGAGTGGTGCATTATGTTGACGTTGAGATGGCGGAGATTTTTTATCCCATACTTTCAAGTACTATTCAAGTCTAATAATGTTGATCCTACCTCTTATGTTCAACATCTTAGGCCTAAGCATGGTATTCGTCAAGGTGACCCCTCTCTCCTCTCCTCTTTGCTTTGTACACTGAGGCATTTACCTCTAAGTTGTCTCGTAAACTGAACTGCAATGCTGTACATGGGTTAAGAATTCATCATGGTGCCCCTATCACGTCTCATTTGATGTTTGCTGATGATACTTATCTCTTCTTAAGAGTCTCAATCCTCGAATGCTCTCACATGCTACATGTGTTTGAGGAGTATGGCTTTGTAAGTGGACAAAGGGTTAATTTACACAAGTCCTCTATATGTGTTAGTGCTAACATGTCCGAACAAGAACAAGTTGCATTGGTTTCCTTCTTAGGAGTAACAATGACATCTCCCTAGGACAAATATCTTGGGTTGCCCGTCGAGGTTCAGAGGTCTAAAACACAAACGTTTCAGTTCTTGGAAGAGGGTCTGGTTGCTCAGATTCGATCGTGGAAGACTAAGGCCATGTCGTTTGCTTCCAAAGGGACTGTAATCAAATCAATTGGTTCGGCTTCATCAACATATGTGATGTCTACGTTTCGTATTCCTGCGTTTACCCGGTTCTGGTGGGCAACTCAAGATAAGGAGAAAGGTATACACTGGGTATCTTGGCCGGAGGTCTGCCATAGTAAATTTGAGTGCGGCCTGGGCTTTTGAGATTTTGATAGCTTCAATATAGCTTTGCTCGCAAAGCAAGTGTGGCAACTCCATCAAAATCCCGATTCTACCTTAGATGTCCTGTTCAAGGCCCATTACCATCTGGATACTACTTTTCTCTCGGCAAATTAGGGTACACGACCCTCTTGGGCTTGGCAAGGAATACTTGAGGGGCGAGATTTACTTGCTAGGGGGTTGCGCTGGCGAGTCGGATCAGGCAAGACAATCCGGATTCTCTCATATAAGTGGTTGCCTTCTTCCCCACCTTCTTCTCCTTCTCTACTCCCCGGGGTCGATTTCTCTTAAATCTTTGTGGCCGAGTTGATTAGTCCTGTCTCCCATAGTTGGAAAGTTGATTTGTTGCAGGGGATGTTCACATCTGAGTCGGTGGAGTTGATTCTCACCATTCCTTTGCCATCGCAGCCTATCCTAGATAAGCTTATTTGGCATTACTACTCATGTTCGGGTGAGTACTCCGTCAAGTCGGGGTATCAACTTCTGTCCATGGAGCTTAATCAGTTCCACCCTCCTGCCCCCCTTCCTTATGATGGACGTTTCTGGAAATTCCTTTGGAATTTACCTTTGCCGCCAAAGTTGAAGTTTTTTAGGTGGTTCGTGGTTCGTGGGTTCCTCCTGGTGTTTGATGCTCTGGTATTCAAAAGGCTGCTCACAAACAATACATGCCCAGTGTGTTCGGAGGGGGCTGATTAGATTCTCCATATCTTCCTACAATGTCGAGTTGCCGTGGAATTGTGGGAACTAGCAGGATTGGGTCTACTTCGGTGGGGCTTAATGGGGTTGTCCTATGATGAATGTTGGAAGCAATTTATTTTCCATTGTCCTTAGTCCAAATTGGATGTTGCTAATGTGTTCTTCTTGTTATGGCGTCTTTGGAAGTCCCGTTGTTGGGTTGTCCACAGGCGCATTCAGTACAGGGTTTCAGCCTTGTTACGACAACTATAGGTGCAAGAAGAGGAATGGCGGAACGCGACTGTGCCCATGGAGCTGCATAATGGAGTTCAACTTGGCAGCGAAGCTTCACCGCCGACTGGAGCCCCACCAAGGTCGGAGACGGACGGTGTATGCCCACCGGGTAGAGTTCTTGTACGATTTGACAGGACCTGGAAGAGGGGTGTCGGTGGTGCTGTTGGATTAGCGGGATTTGCCAAGAATGGGGCCTTGTTATTCGCCTATGACAAACACTATTTAGGTATTTACTATCCTTTTCTCATGGAATTAAGGGCACTACGTGATGCAGTTACATGGTGTATAACTCATGGTTTTGTTTTTGTGAATTTCTGTGGGGATTGCCGACTCTTGGTACGCCGAGTTCCCTCGAGAGACACAAATCACAGAATGGGTGGTGCAGTATTGTAGGAAATTCGAGTTATGCGTTTGTCGTTCTCATTCTTTGATTGTACTCTTACCCCTCAAGATTTTAATAGGGCCACCCATTTACTGGCTCAAAAGGCTCTTGCATCGACAGTTCGACTAACTGCCGCGTTTGGTTGAGTGCGGTTCTTTGACTATTTTTTCCATTAGATTCCTCTTGAAAAGAGGTATTACAAAGATCACAGATACAAATAGCCTATCTACTACGCAACCAAGCAATGAAGTCAAACCTCGGTAGTAACCGAGGCGACAAAACCAGAGCATGTCTTGCTACCGAGTGAGCTACTCTTTTATTCAATCTAATAACAAAGTGAATCGAGGTGTTGTTGAGTCCACTAATGAGCATATCAATCTCTTGAAGAATAATCCGACTTTTTGCGTCACAAACTTGTCTTGCACAACATTTCTCAATGAGAACTTTAGCATCCCCATGAACGCAAACACTGTTGAGCTGATGTTGCTTGCAGAAAATAAGACAATCCTGTCACGTTAGCGCCTCCAGGACATAAGGATCACTACAACTTTCAAAAACACAAGCCTTGGCTGCTATGACCTCTCCCGAAGCACGCCGTACAACGAAAGCCGAAGATCAAAACTCCCTGTGCCGTGTACCTGCATAAAAAAGGCCACAAAATTTGTCATGGTGTCATCATGACTTAGATGATTTCTCATCAAAGCTGTGCCATTTACAGGAGTGGCCTGCAAAAGAGCTTTATCATTCTCTTGAACTTGGTGCTTCCATTTGGCAGCAAGTTCTTCCACTTTAACATGCTTGAACTCAAAACAAACAGTACATCGATTTTTCCATATGCGCTAAAGAAGGCAAATAACCTGCAAGTAAAGATAATCCAAATCCTGGCCATCATCCTGGAACAGTGAATATCGAAGAAAGCCAATAAAGGAACCCTTATTCCAACGTCCCAAGTGCCTATGCAGCCCTACCATTCTCCATAATCTCCTTGTTGCCAGACACTTGAAAAATAAATGTTCAATGGTTTCCTCTTTCCGCCCACTAGGGATGGCAATCAAACCCATGGTCGCGGTATCCGCCCACCTTAGACCCAGTTAACGCGGGAATCCCCGCATTAATTGGGTATGGGGCGGGTATGGGTAAAACCCAAAAAGAACTTGATGGGTATGGGCGGGTATGGTTTTAGGGTATGGTTTTAGCGTCCCCACCCCATACCCATACCCGAACCCACCCCATCAAGGTATTTTGCTATATGTAAAAAGCTATAAATATATTTTTTATAAACTATTATTAGCGTGAAGGTAATTAAATAAAAAATATGATTAAAATGTAATTATATTTATCAAAACCTTGAAATTTTCAACCCTCTCAGCCGGCTACAGTTTACTTTCTGAATTCCTCAATGTCGCCGCATTTCCACTCCTGACTCCTGAATCATCTTGGAGATGCCCACCTTACCAAAATTGTTGATAAGATAGTAATATGTCATTAAATATAATTTTTTACATTTGAATTATTTTGATGCATATTGGTGTAACTTAGTGTGTTTGAATAATTGGTAATCTAGTAGACTTTAATCTTTTAGAAACTTAAGAGGTTTTTGTCTAGTTGACAAGTTTATGTTAACTGTTTACTACATAAACGTGTTAGATTCAGAGATGAATGATTTGATATTGTATTATATTTGCATTTTATTTTATTGATTAATCAATAGTTTAGGATTGAATGCTTTTTTCTATTAAGAAATACTATAACTATGTTGATTTCCGCTATTTATTATGTGTGTTTTGTGTTATAATTGAAGACATACATGTTGAACTTTAGATAAAATAATATTACTTATACGGGGCGAGTACTACCTATGGGTATCCGCAACCGATGGGTATGGGGATGGGTTTGCAAAACCTCCCTCTGCATAGGTATGGGGCGGGTATGAGTTTGGGTATTTGGTAATGGGGATGGGGATGGGGATGGCAAACCCGCCCATTGCCATCCCTACCGCCCACATACCGGGCAAATAGAAGGATGTCCATCCCATGCGTTACTAAAACTTCACGAGTAGGGAGGAGACGATGAATACACTGCCATAAAAAGAAGAGCAATTTCAGAGACACCTTCCTTCCCTAAAGCCAATTCCAAATAGTTGGATCCATAAAATCAATCCTGGAATTAGTAGGAATTGGACGTTGACGTCGAAAAGTCAAATGGTACACGAATTTGACCGTGAAAAGGTCTGAGGGATCATACTACGAAATAATAGATCATGAAGTCTTGTGTGCGACAACAGAATGTTACGAATCATCCTAGCAGACTATTGGATACTTTATTATCTATGACAAAAAAATGGGTTAATTGCAAGGTTGGTCATTGAGATTACTAAAAACGTTCATGTTTAGTCACTAAAAATATTTAATTCCACTTGTGGTCACCCAATTTAGTAAAACAATTCAAGTTTGGTCACTCTCCGTTAGTCTCCATCCATCTCCGTTAATTGAGACTGTTATGTGCTGACGTGGCAGACGGAATCATCTAGTCAGCCTCATTTAATCCAAAATTGATGAAACATGACCCGCCACGTCAAGAAAACTTGCCATATCACCTTACCCAGCCCAACCCAACACTTGACCGTTCCGACCCATAAACCGAGCTACTCAAACAAAATAAGAAAGGTTAAATACACTTGTATATCCAAAACTTTCACGGTTGTGCCAATAATATCCAAATTTCCCGAAATACCACTTATATCCAATTCCTTCACATTCTTTAAAGGTGTTTTTGGATATACAAGTGTATTTAACCAAAAATATATTGGGAAATGAATAAATTTGGCAAAGAACAACTTTAAAACATGGATATAAATTGTATTTTGGGAAATTTGGATATTATTGGCACAACCGTAAAAGTTTTGGATATACAAATGGGCTTGAGCCAAAACCTTCCCCAAAGAACAGTAGCAGTGGGCCCCGTCATGGCACTCCAGCCATGTGGTCCACATGCAAACTGCAAACTAATGAGAGAGGCGCCCATGGCCCATCAAATCCAGCCCTCCGACAAAACGAAATCCAACGGCTGTCATTAAAAGTTACGTACCCACAGCATTGGACGGCAGTCGTTCAACCCCAAAAAAAAGAAAAAAAACACCAAAAACAAAAGAAAATTAATGAATCCCAAGTCTCTCCTGAAAGTGAAAACGAAAAAAGAACAGTTCCGTTGAAGTTGAAAAGCAAAGCCCTAAAATTTCTGTGTGCCTATTTTTTGGTGGCTTATAGCCTTTTCGATCTTTCGCTGAAAGGGCAGAGGAAATCAATCATGAGAGGAACAAAACGTCTCGCCACATCGTCGTCGGAGTTGGCGCCGGAGTCCAATGACACGGGTGTAAGTTGTTGCTCTCTGTGTGGGGGAAAAACCCTAATTGATGTTTGGTTGCTACTCTGTTCTGTCGAATTTGTGGGGAATGCGTTTTCTGATTGGTGGGCTTGAGTTGGAACTGTAGGCTTTCTGCAGGGGAATGGAGACCTGAAGGAAAGTTGGGAACTTTTTCTCTTCCATGTAGCAGCAATGGCAACTGCAGAAAAAAAAAAAAACAGACTTTTATGTTGCCTATCGAGTTCTTCTAGAAACTAAGGTGTAGACCTGCTTGTTTGGAAGCGAACTTAATATAGAGAATCAATGCTACACCTTAGGACAATGAAACTTCCTTGATGCCAATCCAAAGTTGATTTTTGGCTGTGCAAATTTGTTATCCTGGCTATTTATGCCTACAAGTTCCTTCTTTTCTGTCGTTTACTTTGCTGTGGAGGACAAGAAGAGTTGGTAGACTTGTCCTTCTGGAATGTGTTTAGGCCATTCAGAATGTGGACAGGGTCTGGAAACTAAACAGTTGGTTTATTTTTGTTTCTGGTTTATGAAGTATTATAAGGCGTTGAAGCATGAGTGTTGGTTGATTCTTTAGTCACTTGTGGAGGCTCACTCACTTCAGGACTTTCAATGCTGTTACAGATGCGAACTAAAAGGGCAATGAGATCCTTTTCTGATGTTCACAAGGCAGTAACATCGCAGAAGCAGTTCAAAACTGCAACGCCATCCCTAGATGTGCAGCGAGCTGAGTTGTCTCGACAGCATGTGAGAGCTCTCAATTCCCAATTCGCCAGGTCAGCAGGTTTTTCTCTCCTGCTTATGTTTTGGCCCTCTTTTTATTGTGAATCTTTTGCTGTGTACTCTTTGAACATACCGTAGAGTGGTTTCTTCACTACTGAGGTGTGTTTGGCTTCCAAGTAATCCTTTTGCTAAGCATGTTTTTTCCTGATTGGTAATAGCTGGGTGCAAAAACAACTTAAGAATCACCCTGATGAACTTTGGGAAGATGGAGTTCATGACTATCTTACTCATGCATCCAGTATCATGGTACGAATTACAGGTTTTGTGTCCTTCCACTCCCATGATAACTTTGATATCCTTCTTCTATTTCTGATCTTTGTGGCTTTGATCTGCTTCTGTTCATATGTCAGCAAAAGTTCAGTGATGTAGTGAACTGGTTAAAAGCAAATGGAGCTAAGGGAGGACCTGGTGCCGAATCTTCTGCCAGTGACAAAAAACCATCACCTGATACTAATAAGATAAATGAGAATAATTTATCTAATGAGAGACCACCTGCTTTTGCTTCAACAAGTACGAGCTTTACTACAGCTGCATTGCCTCCTGCCATATTCTCCTACAATCAAAGCTCGGGAGCAGTGTCTAGTAGTAAAAACTCAAGCCTGCTTCTGTCAAATAGCCAAAGCTCAGGAATGTTCTCTGGTAGCCAAAGCCCTGCCTTACCGACAAACAGTCAAACGTCTGGATTGTTATCGAGCAGTCAGAGTACTGGGATTTTCTCAAATAGTAAGTTGGGATCCTTGGCCAACAATCAAAGTGCTGGTTTATTCTCCAAAAGTCAAACCCACAGTGCCGGGTTACTATCTAATAGTCAAGGTGCTGGGATGTTCTCCAAAAGTCAAACCCAAAGCTCCGGGTTACTATTGAATAGTCAAGGTGCTGGGTTATTCTCAAATAGCCAAACCCAAACTTTTGGGTCACTATCCAATAGCCAAGGTGGTAATTTATTCTCAAGTAGTTCGGGCCCTGCATTGTTTTCAAGCAGTCAAAGTACTGGGTTCTTTTCCAGCAGCCCAAGCAGTGGATTATTTTCTGAGAGTCCAAGTTCTGCGGGTGGGTTTGCCAGCGTACCAGCTCCTATCTTGTTTGGTAAGTGATGCGTGTCAGTTTACAGTTGTTGTATTCGCCTCTTTCTGCTTGAGACTCATAAGCTGTTATTTGACGGCCTGAGGGTAAGTTCATGTTGAAGCTGAATATGGCATATACTGTTCATTTTGGATTTCAGGGGGTCAAAGTTCAGCTACCACAAAAGATAATGCCTCAGATGATGCAGCTGATGGTGATGATGTGGATTTTGGTTCCCTTTGCCCTTCACTGTTTTGAAATTTATTTTAATGGACTGACTGAGGCCACTTTTATTTGTAAACCAGGAGATGAATTGCCACAGCCTGGCAGTCCATCAGTGAAGAAGGTTGAAGAAAAGGGTGTTGCCATTGTCCATCAAGTCAAGTGCAAACTCTATGTCAAGGTAAACTGTTTAGTTGCCCATTTCATTTCCACATTTGGTGAAATTACATTGTCCAAATACATCAGCACCGGTTCCCTGTTGCTGCTGATCAGCCCTCGTTATCATTTGGCATGATGATCCACTGCATGTGTATACATAAGGTCTATGAAATTAACACGGACTTCTATTCTTGATGTGTCACCTGCGAATTTATATACTTGGCTGCTCGTTTAACAGCCAAAACCTTGTTTTCAGTCAATTGATCCTGCAGATAAAGACACATGGAAGGACAAAGGACCAGGGCAGCTTTCTATAAAATGTGCCGAGGGTGTCAGCAAGGGGACGAAAGAATCAAGCCCAACTCTTATCATTCGTAATGATGTAAGGTTCTGTTAGTAATGCTAAACTGTTTTGACGAATGTCTGAGTTAAAAATGAAAATGCAGAGATTTAGGCTGTGACTCATTTGACTGGCTGATCTTGTGCTTTGTGCTATATGGCAGCTGGGGAAGGTGCTACTAAATGCTTTGCTTTACCCAGGAATTAAGACGAGTTTACAGAAGAATTCTGTGGTTGCCATATTTCATGTAGCGGTAAATATATACTCGCTATTCAGTTTGTCTGCTGCTAGAGAACTTGTTATCTATCTTTCAATGCCTACTTAACAACATTTGACTCTTTAATTTTTGCAGGCGGATGATTCTGGTAGCAATGAGAGCGTTGCGGCAAGAACATTCTTAATCCGAACAAAAACTGAGGACGATCGGGACAAGCTAGCAACCGCTATCCGGGAATATGCGCCTGAATCGTGAATGTAGCAGTTTGTACATCAGCACCGTGAACTCTTTTTTGGCTATTAAGTTTTGGCAGTTATGCAGTGGATTGTGCTTGTATAAGGCGAGAAAAGTGAAGGAGCTTCCTTACGAATAATTAGGGTCAGTAATTTTTACCTTGTTTCACTGATTCAAACTCATGTAGATTAATTGTACAATTAACATGTTCCATATGACGAATGATAAGAAAGGTCTTCTTACCCTTTAGTTTCCTGGGTTGGTCACAAAACTTATCCAAACGATATAATTTATGATATGATCACTCCCTCTAACTCTGTCAGATTTTGGATTTGTTTGATTTCATAGCCAAGTGCCCAATTTTAGGATTTCAACAGCTTGGCATTCATAATTTATGATACGGAATACAGAAAGTAACGATCTAGTAAAACATCATCAATCTATCTACTCCTTTGATATCGTTTATCGTTTCTAGTTTCGAAGTTTGTTCGGCAAGAAATCAAGCAACCCAAAAAGAATCAAACTAGTTAAGGAAAAGAATGGATGGATTGTTCAAAAACAGTTGTGTTTCTATCCTTCAAACTAGGGGTCTTTTCTCTTCATCTTCTTGTTCTTCACCTTTTCCTACACCCGAATTGGTTTCCTCGTGTAACTCCAATTGCTTACGTGTGATCATCTTCGGAGGAAGTTTGGCATCTGGCATCATCTTTAACATGATTCCCATGGCGATCAGTAGCAATCCAGACCCATGCTGCTCGGTCAATGGCTTTGTGAATATCATATAAGATAGCAACAAAGTGACTGCCTTCCTAGCAGTTGTAATCTGCAAAGATGGGTCGATTGGCATTATAAGACCTCCTAACATTTTCTGCAAAATATAACAAGCAAAAACCCCAGAGAAAGTGTGCATACCATGGCAGTAGTGGCAGCTCCGAAGATAGCAACAAGGGACAAAACCGAGACTTGACCGACAAATGTAGCCAAAGCTTCGAAGACCAATACGCCGTATACATAGGGATGCTGCAGTCAATATTTGACAAACTGTATAAATGGGCAGTACGACATTCCCTCGTGTTTGTTTTTCTTGCCAAATGGTGGATTTTGAGGACAGTTCCCACTTTGATGGATTGTGTGCCACAATTCATCATCCAAATGACCTAAGACCCTAAGCTCCTAGAGGCATGACATGATTGCCATAGTTTACCTAAGGCGGGAGACCTATGCTAACTTTAGGGTCCACTATTATATTATAGTGTCACTTTGACATTATTATATTAAGTAGCAGGCCATACGTGATTAAATAACTATGCCAAGCGAAGTTCAAATGAGAAAAGGATGATGAACATTCCAAGTAATTCTAACTTAATCATGGCCAGCACGTCATAGGTCATGGAACCCACACACTAGAATATTTGAAAAGCAAACAGGCAAAAAGAAACAGCATGTAGCCATAGTTCTTACTTGAGCACAAGATTTCCAGGCGATGAACAACTCTCCGGTAAGGATCATTGGTGGAAGCAAGAAAGGGAGTCCAACAACAGTGGAGCAGAATAGCACCTCAATCTGCCAGAGACCAAGAAAATGAAAAATTATCTCTCGCTTTGTTTTATCTGTCAACGGATTTTAGAATAATATCCAAAGTGAAACGAGTATGCAATCAGTCACCTGAGTAGTGTCTGGATTCATGGTAAAAATAGCTTCTTGCAGATTACCCATTAGGGAATCCAAAACTAGAGCACCACAAATCATCACAACGCCGATAACGCTAAAATTTGGAGAAGTATGAGCATCAGCTAGAGTGAAAAGGATGAGGCCAGCGACTAGAAGGAGAGCAGAGACATATTCGTGAAGCGGGTATTTCCTTCTTAATCCAGGAATGAAAGCACCCATTACCATAACTGGAAGAACCTAGGAGATCTTTTATTTTACAGCAAAACACCAAGTGTAATTAGTCACAAAGATTGATCTTAATTGTCTATTAGAATCACAACACATGAAACAATCTTCTCACCTTGGTAGATTTGAACATGATCTGTGCAGGGTAGTTGAGAAAAGCCAGGGAGCCTTTGGTCAATCCATGAGAACCCATAAGAACAGCAGAGAGTTTGACATATGTTTTCCATGGGTTCACCATTTGCTTTGGGGTGAAACCCTGCAAGTATATGAGGGCCAAATACACAAATCCTTGGACAAACGTGAAGTACCAACCATAGCTGAAAAAACCAGAAGGCAGTAAAAAAATTGCATCAGAATTACATGGCAGACAACGAGCCATAATACTAAGGAGTTATGCAGAAAGGTTTTCACCTGAACTGCAGTCGATTGTAAACATATTCCTGAAAATTTAACAGCAGAGAGGTTTAATTTCTAACCGTTATCAAGTAGGGCCGAAAATTTCTGTCAGGTATCAAGTTCAAAGATAAGGTTCTCAAGAGCAAAAATGCGAATGAACAAGACGAAAGTAAGCAGCAGCCGCACAGCAACAAGCGTGATACTTGTGAGTGATGAAAAGGACCTTTGAAGATGGGAACTCTAAGCCTTCTTTTAATCATTTTGGCACTAAACATTCTCTCAATCAACCATCATTCTAAAACTCACAGACCCTCGTCTCAGGAAAATACACAGTGGCCTATCATTTGCTGCAGAAAGGCAAACAGTGCACTAACAAACAAACAAATCCCCCAAACTTTCTCTCTTCCTGTTTTGCCTTTCTCAGGGGCCAAACACACAGAGACCGCCAGGCAAATAGCAGTACTAACATCTTATGCAATATGTGGATTACAAAGGAGAGAAGAAATGAAACGAGTGATCATAAAACCGATGCATGGCCATACAATCAAACAAATCAAAACCCATCTGAGAAACAACATAAAAGAGAGAAAAACGAACCTCGCAAACGCCATTAACAAGGTAGCCGAAGAAGAACCCAGAGGAGCAAATAAGGAACTGCTTCCATTTGGGTTTATCAGAAAGGGAAATCCCAAAGAGGGACCTCGATTGCTCCTCGCCCTTCATCCCCTCAAATTCACCTGACGGAAGAGAAGGAAAAAACACAGGAATTGAAAGGAACCCAACAAAAGGATCACCCTCTGGGTCTCTCTATGAATAATATCTCGATCGGAGTCCCTTTGCTTGTATCAGGGGTGCATGGATATAACAGAATATGATTTCCCCTTTAACTTGTTACTGGGAAGAAAAAGGGGATATCAGGAATTGGGGAAGAAGGAAAGTATCGCAGCCGTCCAAGTGAAGAAGAAGGAGTTTGAGTGAAGCTGCCTGCGCACCACTCCTTCTCTTTCTTCTTTCTCCTCGGCGTGCAAATGTTAAGCGGAAGGAATGGAGCAAGAAGAGGGAGAGGTTTATTGCGTAGGTAAGCAAAGCTGGGGAACTGCCAGCGAGGGAGGGGGGACGAATATGGACGCGTCAGAGGATTTTTGGGGGGGAAGAAGAGTTTTTCTTTTCTTTTCTTTTCTTCACCTTCTCGCGGCGGGCGGTCGCAATTTCTCTGCTACTCGCGAGAATTTCCTCTTAAAATGTTTATCTCTGATTCTTCTGATATTTTCTTTTTCTCCTTGAGACCTTGACAAGTTTTCTAATGAGCTTCAAAAACTTTCAACTAATATATTCAAGCACAAGTCAAGTTTAATTGGAAAATGCATAAAGAGTTTGGAAGCAGAGTGATATTGGAATCAATCTTAAACTCAAATCTTGTTTTGTTCTACAATACTTGCAACTAAAATTAAATTGACCGTTGAAGTATTAATAGAAAATCGTATAAGAATCATGATAAGATTATGTTAGATGTTTATGATATGTATGTATTATATTGTAAAAAATGTAAAAGTTCAGTTTCTAAGAAGACAACCGACACATAGATATTTGTATTTCAGCATCGAACGTTATACCTTATAATTGATGTATGCTCTAAATTAGTGTGATTCTTTAGTGTGTGTTTGCGATATTTAGTTGTTCGTATTGAAACTAAATACAAATACGATGACAATCAATTTTTGTCATGGAGCTAGCTTAAATTTTGTTTGGTGTCACAAATAAAGTGATGGTTTGATCAATTAATATAAAACTCTTTTGAAAGCCACTTTAGTTTTGTTAATATGTTTCAACTAATAGAAAACTCGATTGAAAGATTTACATTTATAACAGAAAAAGAAAAAAAGAAGATTGAGACTTTAGTTTGGTTAATAAGTTTCAACTAAATATAATGAAGTTTCTGCTTGACTTGGAAAATATATGTAGTCTTTCAAGTACAATTAGCTTTTAATATGAAGTTGGAAGTAGCAAATTATAACAAGGAAGGTGATGAGTCATGAGTACATGGATAACACTTCACCTACAACATTGGATTAAATGTTTCATCATATTTAGTGATATTTCGATAGAAACACAGTTTTCTTTTTTGCAGTATACTAACACCATTTTGTAACCTTCAAATTAAGTCGAATGTGAAATATCACAGAAATGTTAGCATATTACATAAACTCTTGTTTAGAGCTTCCACATCGCCACTTTCATTTCAATTGCAGATGCAGGTGTTTACTTACGTACCAATTGCAAATGCAATTACATGGTTACGGCTACCAATTGCAAACATGCAAGCTTTCAAGTAATGAAATCGACCTTGCAATGTCATGTCACTTTTGAATTTATTTTTTAATATTTTAGGTGAATATATTTGTATAAAAATAATGTAGATATAAATTTTTAGTATATTAAAAAATCATATGAGTCAATTAATTGTAATTGTAAGTGAATTGCATCAATGTATGTATAATGAAATTTAAATGAGTTTGGTTGCATAAATTAATAAGATAGTAGTAAAAATCATATTTACAATTGAATTGATATGGATTCTCTTAGTGAGATGCTTAAAAGAGTCTCATTATCCATCTTAGAACTAGGGATGGCAACAAAATCCGAACTCACGAGTATCCTATCCGACCCAATCCGGTCAACGAGGGTAAAACCCGTGTTGACGGGGTTTGGGTCGGGTTTAGGTTTAAGCCCGTTCACTATTCACCGGGTTGGGTTTGGGTTTAGGTAAACCCGCCCCATGGGTACCCGCCCACACCCATATAATTAATTTTTCTGATATATTTAATATCTAAACAACTAATCTTCTTTATGTTTGTGGAGACATGTCTAATTTTTTTTCTTTCTAATAGTCTAGAATGAAGTTGATATTATAGAGTGGAGAGTGAAGAAGTTTAATTGACAAGGAGGAAGAAGCTTTCAATTAATCATGTTGTTTATAGATAATTTGTGATCTGTTTCAATTTTCTTGAGTTTTCTAGATTTGTATTGAACAATTTGTATGGTTAATTTGTGATTTACTTAAATTTTCTAGAATGGTGTTTTATATATGGATAATTTGTATTGAGAGATTGATATTTGACTTCTATTTTGATAGGAATGCGTTATTGTAAATTTTTCACGACAAAAACCCATGGGTACCCATGAACTCGCGGATACCCTGCGAGTTGGGTTGGGTTTGAGTTTTTCAAACCCAGTGAGTTTTACCTCATGTTTTTTTTTTCACGGATAAAGCCATGGAGTTGGGTTTGGATTTGGCAAAACTCGACCCAACCCGACCCATTGCCATCCCTACTTATAACAATTGCATTGGAACGACGTTAAGATGGATATGAGAGGTTTGAATAGTCAAACCCCAAATGGACTTATTTGTTAACTTGCCCAAAGTTGAGGAGGCTAAAAGGAAGAGAAGCCAGAAGATATATTGAATCACTCGCGGGATGCCACAGCCGGGTCAGGATAAGAAAGGTTATCGCGAGATGCAGAGATATTTAGAAGGTGGTGGTGGTCGGTGGTGGGTCATCGCCGAAATCTCGCAACGACTTGGACTTTCTGCTAGCTCGCCACGTACACTCTGAGTAAGTGATTCCAATTGGGTAATCATTCCATCTACAACACCAAGGAAAATCCCGAGGCTTGGAATTTCTTGCTACTTATAGGTCTGCGGTCTGAGGTCTGCCTACCCTGATTTCCAGATTGAAGAACGACGACGAAGATTTGAGCGGTGCCAGAAGGGATGGCAAACGGGTAGGCAGAGTCATATCTTAATACCCATTCTTGCTCCACAAGTTGGGGCGGGTGCGAGAAGGCTCTAACTCATTTTTATATGTTATTTAATAAAATATGTAAAATTTATTTTTTACATAATAAAGGAAAAACACTTTATCAATAAAAAATAGTGATAATAGATTCATTAATTAAATATAACTAGTTAAAATATCAAGTCTAACAAGTTCAAAAAAAGTAAAAATATGACAAATATGAATATATATTATTATAAATGGGGATAAAATGAGCCAAGAATAGGCAGAGTAGGACGGGTCGAAAGTAGATACTCATGTCACACCTCATACTACTGCGGTCAAGTAATATCTGTTCTATCGCGAGTCAAGTCGGATCATATCCGACAAAACGAGTTCAAATTGTCATTCTTGGTTGCCGTCTGTAACCAAATTTGCACTAGGAGACAGATCAATAATGGGTTGCCTTTTAAGTGTTAGTGGCTGGTTTTTTTTTTTTTTTTGTCTCTGGATCATGTAATGATGTGGCCCATGCTTTAACCCATCTAACTAGTACTTGGGTTCCTCTGTTTTTTTGGGTCTCTTGCTTTGTTTGGGTTTATGTCATCTGATAATATATTGGGCCCTTAGTTAATGAATTTAACTCATTAAAGTTTTAAATGTTTTTAGAAAAGAAAATTATCCACCATGCAATCAATAACTTTTTTATTAATAAAAATATTTATATTTTTTCTCAAGTTTATTCTATCTGAAGTTCTGAACCCTAAACATATTTGCCTCCTAAATTTCAAAAAAATTTGAAACAAAACCACGGATAGTGTTTGGAGTGACCATGCTTGACAAGAAATGTTTACGTGCAACAGAATCTTCCAAGTATCAAAATATGTGGCTTAAGTATTCGAGTGCTTTTATGAAACACTACTACATCACAAATGCATACTGTAGTTTTCACTATTAAGAGCATCATTTCATTGCTCTTTTATTTCCAATTGCAAATAAAATTGCATGTACTTTTTTGAAAGGACAAACAATTGCTTTAATACGGTCATTTATTGCAATTTTGCAACAAATGCAATTGTCTATAAAAGAAAAGTGGCATAAGAAAGGGATAAAAGTCAATTACATCGATGCAGACATAATATTTAACTACATACGCAATTGCAAGTTAATTACATTGATGTAACGGTAATAAAATTAAGACGAGTTGGATTGCAAAAATTCCTCAAGTAACGATCGATTTGAGACAACATATATACAATTCTAGTGTTTGAGTCTAGAATGTTCTAGGCGGTTTGATGAGGAGCGAGTGAGGCATCTGTTCTTGATGATGGGTGCACTCATGACCTCTGCAAAACAAGGGTCTGTGGGCGGTTGCCCTGGACACTCCCCGATGCTTAAGTTAGAGAGAGAAGTAAGAATATATATTTGTATTTAGAGAGAAAGGAAGTAGTTGAGTTACCATCAATGCTGGTGCGAGGGTATTTATACTCAGTTCAGTAGAGCTTTTTTTTTCCAAGTAAGATCGAAGTACAATAGTTAAATCCTCTACCCGAAACCCCGAAAAAATAATTAATGAATCCACCCTACAAAATCGAAGGACGCTATCTCTACAGGGGACAGCAACAGGGCTTGTCTTGCCACTCTATGGGCAGCCCAGTTGGCAGTCCTCGGAACCGCACTAAAAAGAATACACGAGGAACAGGACCTCAACAACTGAAAACAATCTCGAAGTAAGGGCCCGCCCACCGAATCTTCACTGCATCTACCATCAAGTTGACGAATGACTACTTCAGAATCTCCTTCAATGATGACGAGGGGAAGACTTCGAGAGATAACAGTAGAGCTTAGGTCATTAAATGCACGTCGTAGGCGTCCTGGTTATGTGGTACTTTACCTGGACCGCCTACGGTGGACAATTAATGTTTAGTCCTGCTTGTTTCGAGGTGAGTATCTTCAGGAGATCCCCCTTTCCCTGTCACAATCATTGCTTTATGTCAGGCGGTCTATACCTGTCACGTCACTAACGACCGCCTATCGTGTCCTTTCCCGGTGGCGTCACCTTTTTGGGTCCCCTATTGGGTCTGACTTACCATTCTTATTGGGCTTAGGATCCAGTACCACTCAACTATGGGCCCAACAATTGCCCTTTAGTCGTGAAAAGCTACGGATTTTGGTGTCTACAATCTTCTCAGCGATCATGTTGAGCGGTCCGTCTCATATAACCGCTACACTATAACATGCCCCTGGCCGCGCGAGAGACGAAGATTTTCCACGCCCAATGCTCCTATACTTATCCATAAACATGTGTTGTCTTCCAGAGCTTTCCGAAGCAGTTTGCCCTTTGCGTTTCTCCCTTCCCTCTGCATGCTTAGTCACGTGGCAGCACTCGAATGTTGTGCGGTCTTCTAGAGTTTTCTGAAGCGGTTTACCGTTTGCGTTTCTCCCTCCCCTCTACATGCTTAGCCACGTGGCGGCACTCGAATGTCGAGCCCTGACAACGGGTAGCTCAAACGTCGCTTCGCCTGCCCGTTATTTTGAATTTTGTAGACTAGGGTTTCTGAGTCGGTCACTCAACCGTCGTGTCGTTGCCCCTTTTTTTCCCCTTCGGGCTGCTTATTTATACCTTCCCATCATTCTTCTTCTTCGGCGTTTTCTTTTTTGAGCTCTCCTCGTTACTCTGTCAAAACTGCTCGCTGCTCAGGATTCTCCCTTTCTTCTTATTTGCGAGATCATATCCTCCTTTCATCACTGAACCGAGCGAACTTCTTGGCCGAGTTCAAACAATCCCAGGAACAAAGGAAGAGAAAGCAACAACGAATGAAGAAAAATCATCGACGATTTAGAATGGCAATCGATTCTCAGAGCACTACTCCCTCTGATAGTCAGAACGAGAACCTTTCCGGCGACGTTGTCGCTGCCACAACTTCCGGCGAGGTCCGGACTTCCAGCCCGGGCACTAGTTGAACAGTTGAAATGGTTTCTAAGTAAAGAGTGGTGAAAGATCTCGGTACCATTTCCTTGGTTTAGAAGTTGTGAGAGATAACAAAAGAATATTAGTGAGTCAGAGGAAGTATTGTTTGGAGCTGCTAACTGATACAGGGTTCCTTGAAGCAAAGGGTTGTTTGTCCCCAGTTGACTGCAATGTGAAATTAATAGCAAGTCAAGGAGAACCATTACATGATGCTAGTGTTTATAGAAGGTTAATTTGGCAGGCTTCATTACTTGACTATTACTAGACCTAATGTCACTTATGCAGTTCAACAACTCACTCAGTTTCAAGCAACACCTAGTATTGAGCATTTTTAGGCAGCACACAGAGTCATCAGATACTTGAAGGCTGAAGCACACTCCTGATCGAGGCTTGATGTTTAAAGTTGATTCTAAATTGAAACTTTCTGGATTCTGTGATGCAGATTGGCCAAGTTGTCCTGATTCTAGAAGATCCTTAACTGGCTACTGTACATTTTCGGGCACATCATTGATCACCTGGAAGACAAAGAAATAGACAACTGTCTCAAGATCCTTCTCTAGAGCAGAATACAGGTCACTAGTTCAAGTGGTTTGTGAAGTACAGTGGTTTAGAAATTTGCTATTAAAGATGGGAATGAAGGTTCCTTTACCTATTTCCTTGTTTTGTGATAACAAATCAGCTTTGCACATAACTGAGAATCCGGTTTTTCATTAGAGAACCAAACATATTGAGATTGACTGCCATGTTACTAGAGAAAGGCTTAAGTCTGGTTTGATTAAGTTGAATCATGTAAGGAAAGACGATCAAGTTGCAGACCTCTTTATCAAAGGTATGACTTGTTATCGTTTGAAGTTTCTTCTGGACAAGCACTTTAAGTCCTTTGATTCGTAAAACCGGATAACACATGACATGTCCAAGAAAAAAAAATGGTCAAGGGTTTGATTCTCACCAAAAAAAAAAATCAATTAATGTTAGGATATCAATAAGAAAAGGCAAAATACACTTTCATAGCCATAATAATCCACCTTGTGACAATAATAGCCACATTTTGAAAAATACACAGATATAGCCATTCCGTCCATAACTTTAACGACAACGTTATAAATGCGGACTAGACTAACGACTTTTGGTGACGTGGCAACTTTTTTTTGTTAAAACTAATTCTAGGTGTAAAAGGTTCTTTATTAAGTTATTATTATAATTACATTAAACATAAAAAAAATAAAAAAGGAAAATGAAATGTCGTCATGACTTCATCTTCCTTTTCCTTCTTTCCAGGTTCCAGCTACGCAAGAGATCCATCTCAATCTTCTCCCTGAAACCCTCCACCTTCTTCCTTTTCTCTTCTTTCCACAAGAGATGAATCCCGATCTTCTCATCGAAACCCCTCCACCATCACTCTAGATCGATGGCGGCACTCATCGACGAACACACCCATCCAGCCAATCCACCCCTCCGTCGATCCGGCTCGTCTCCCCATTCACTCCTCCATCTCCGTTCCGGCTTCGACAAAGGCAACCATGCATCATCTCGCTGGCGGCAAAGACAACCGCTCATTCTCTTAAAAAAGTTGTTTTCTGGGTTTCGATTCTAAGTTTGGGGGTTTCGACCACAAACACCTCGCTTTCGGTTTCTATTCGACAAAAGAAGAAACTCGACCACAAATCGGCGATTGAGCTCTCTTGGTCAGAATAAGATTTGTGGGAGATGGGGTTCGTGTGGGGTTTGTAGCTTTGGTCTGGCGAGGTGAGAAAAGATGGAGAATTGCTCGGTTGGGGGATTGACAAATTCTAGGGTTTGGGAACCGCCATTGAAAGGTAGAGCTCCAAGCTCTGGTTTCTCGTCGAAGACGAGCAAAAACGACGGTAGGAGAAGATGAGGAAAGGAAGATGCAGCAGCAGGAGAAGATGGAAAAAGGAAGATGGAGAAGACAGACTTCTCATTTTCCCTTTTGTTTTTATGTAATTAATAATTTTAACATAATAAAAGATGAATTGCATGTGGCTATTATGTGGCAATAGAGAGTCCAGGTGGACATATGACGTGGCGGTCAGGTGGCAGCAACATCAGCATAATACATATTTAAGTGACGGAGTTATTAACGATGTTAAAGTATCTGATGAAATTAGCTAAATTAGTCAAACAAGTTTAAAAAATGTGACTACAATTGTGCATTTTTCAAAATTCGGCTATTGTAAATAACGGACTGAAAGAGCATACACTTTTAAGTTGGGAAGTAGAGCAATACTGGCAGAAAGGTCTTTTGATTGGGCTTTATTTCGTCAAGCCTAGAATTTCCCATTTCAGCACTCTTATTTTGTAATTTGTTCAAAAAGCCCAATCCATCATAGGAATAGGAAGATTGTTATTCGCTTGAGGGTTCAGGCAATATCCGGTAAAATTGATTCCGGAGACAAAAGGCTAAAAGACCATTATCTGTAGACTCTCCACCCCCAAAAGAAAACAATAGAACCCGAAAGAAGAAGTGTGCTGGCCCACCACACCAAAAATAGACAAGCAGATTCGCTCCCTTTGGGCCAGGCTGTCAAAACTTAGCCCGACCAGCACCCACTCCCTCTTTCCTTAAGCGAGGGTGCCACCGCGTGCCTCGAACCCTATATATATATATCTTGTTCCACTTCACTCCACTCCACTTCCAAATCCAACTTCAACCTCAAACAAATGGATAGAGCAGTCTTCGGCAGCACTCAGCAGCTCCACTACTCGCAGCGCCAGTCATCCTACGACTCATCCTCATCAGCCTCCAACGGCAGCGGCACCACTTCGTCGGACAATCAGCAGCACCAGCTGGCGGCGGAGGTGCCGAAGAAGCGGACCGGGAGGAGGGTTTTCAGGGAGACGCGCCACCCGGTTTACCGAGGCGTGAGGAGCCGCAAAGGCGACAAGTGGGTCTGCGAGCTCCGCGAGCCAACCACCGGGACCCGCGTCTGGCTCGGAACTCACGCGACCGCCGAGATGGCAGCCCGGGCCCATGACGTGGCAGCACTGGCGTACCGCGGGAAGTCGGCCTGCCTCAACTTCGCCGACTCCGCCTGGCGCCTCCCCGTTCCCGCTTCCACCGATCAGTTGGACGTGAGGAGGGCGGCGGCCGAGGCCGCCGCGATGTTCCGTCCCGGCGCGGAGGCCGAGGCGGCGGATGTGCATGAACATATCACCGGTGGCGGGGATTATGCTGACAATGGTGATAGTAACGATAACAATGATGTGGTTCGTGAAGAAGTGGAGGGTGAGGTGCCGAGGCTGCTGTGGGAGATGGCGGAAGGCCCGCTGCTGTCTCCGCCGCGCTGCTACGGAGCGGAGAGCGGCGTGTGGAGCGGTTACATTGCGGAGGAGAGCGGCAATTACATGAATAACGTTGCCGTGGAAGAATATGACTGGTCGTTGTGGAGTAATTAGTTACTGTGCGTACGTATGCAGTCAGTCAGTCAGTGAGTGAGGACATTAATTTAATTATCGGTCTGGGGAAGAGGTAGGGAGTCCGTACTACTCGTGAAATTTTGAAGTAATGAGTGAGTGGCCTTAGCTTGCTTGCTCAGAGCCTCAGACATTCTGCAAGGGAAATTAGACAGTCGCGGCCTCGTGTTCCTTTTTTAGCTGAGGTTGTCTTCTTCCAATCGTCCATTGTTTTCTGGGACGAGGGAGGTAGGGCGGGATGAAAGGGACTGGTCTTCGTTGTGCAGTGTGCTCATAATATCCGATCCACACCAGCAAGTCGGAGGGACGACTCCAGGAATAATGCATGCTTCTCGATTGTTGCGGCGACTTTTTTTGCTCGCCGTCGATGCTGATCGGCCGACTGACTAATTTGTTTTGATTGGCAATTTTCCCACTTGCTGATACCGGCCAGGTCCACATGGTGCCCCGTTTGTTGAAATTGTAGTTGTGGGGATCCTTCTCATCTCCTTTCAATCCCAAAATAACCCACTTAGACCAACGCGCCATCGTCGTAGTTTTACTATTTAGACCACAAATTAATCAAATTTTGGGTTATGATATTAATTGAATTCTTAATTCTCTAATTCGAATGGTCATAAAATTCATTTAATCTAAAAAAATAATAACCAACGATCCTAATTCATCAAAATATAACAAAGTACATATAACAAGTGTGAAGACGGACATATGACGTATTTTAGACGTAAGTTATCCTTATATATATAGTTCAGAGTTCATGCTAACATGTATCTGACGCATGCTAACCTTACTGTATGCTCACAATATTTGTTATATTAATCAATGTGATACTAAGGCAAGAACCAACCTTTTCTTTGCTGATTTTGACAAGCAACCTTCCCTTTCCTTTCCTCCACTTTTCTTTCCCATTTTGCCATCCCCGTTCCCAGGCGTCTTAGTTTCCCGGGTCAACTACCAAAATGATCAGCCAAATTTGGGTTTATTAACAAATCGGTCACTAGCAATAATGGCGGTGCTGAACAACATGATGGTGCGCGCATTGTGGAATCATTTGGTAGATACTGTAGTGAGTTGAGATATTTGTGGAACTGGTTGAGTAATAGTCCAGCGAGCGATATTATAATATGAGTGGCCTAGCTTGCTCGGAGATTGTGAACCAAGTGAATTCTAGTAAGGACAGGACAGGACAGGACAGCTACTCGTTTAATTTCTTTTTCGTTTTTCGTTTAGTTTGGTTTTAGGGATAGTTGAATAGATGTATTGTGATCAAAGGCAAGATAATTTAATGGTAAAGTTGTCAAGATAGTGAAGGTTTGGGAGTTGCAGATTCTATGTTCGAATCCAAGTGAGGCCCGTCGGTGTTCCCGGAGGTAAAAGGCTGCTGGGGCGAAGCCCTGTTGGCATCGAATTTGATTGCAAGTGGCCCCCAGTTTTAGTAGGATCCGCAGTCACAAAGTGGCACGTACGTGGGACTGAGGTTCCTGGATAATAAAAAAAAAGATGCATTGTGATCAATGCATACATAATAATATACATGTATATAATAAAATTGGTGTATTGTAGTTTGCATCGTTTGGTTTATGTGGTAGTTATTGTGTTATTTAAATAAGTTATCTTACTTTTGGGTGAAATGTCACTTTTACCCTTTGTTTTGTAATATAAAAAAGCAAGACATATAAAAAGCTAGGGACAAAATTGGAAGAAAAAACACAACAATCTCAATAATCTCACCCAAAACTTGAGATTAACTATCACTCATTTTGAGTGATAGTTTGTGTCACATCAAGCGAACAATGCATGTATTGTTTGTGCAAAAAATTCAGAAAAACGATACATTGTGGACAATACATATATTGTAACTATCTCAACCAAACAATCACCAAAACCAAACAATCCCTTAGATCATTGTCTTACGTTTGTTTTTTGGTGGGAACTAGGCCACTAGCTAGGGAGAGGGATTGGGACATCAACTTGTTGTGCTCATAATAATATCTTTTGTTCATAGTTCTAATAAGCATGCCTAGTCATTTGTCTAGTCTCGTTTAGGTGCAAGTTAGAAGAAAAACATCTCGTCTTGGCAAAAAGTAGAGGAGGAGGAGTCACGATCACGTTGTGACCTCAGTGACGCCTAATCAACATTGAGTTGTGCCTTATAATGATGTCACAATGTCTTTTTTTCTACCTTTTGATATGCTTCTAGGAAGCATTATCTTGATTTCTTTTTATTTAGTCTAGAATATAGTTAGAGACGACCATTTTTGGAGTAGTTTCTTCTTTATTTTTTTCCTCTTCTTTGCTATTTTCCAGCTTTTTCTTCTTTATTCGTTTCTCCACACTATATTTTATCTTTCATCTAGATAAGTGTGTGATATTTTACTACATGTACATCTAACTACAAAGCAAGTTCATCGCTACTGCCTACAGTACACCAGACATGTTCCAATACTACCCAACCATCTACTTGATTTTAAAACCAGACATATCACTACTCATTACACGATTTGCCAAAGCTAAGAGAGACGGCAATCTTGCCAAAATGTTTCTCCAAGTTGTCCCCAGGGTTTGTCTGATGCGCGCCAAATAGGACTGTTAATGAACCAAGCCGCTCATGAACGGCTCGGTGTGCGACTCGAGAAAAACTCGTTCGACACTCGATTCGTTTTAATCGAGCCGGCTCGCGAACAAGCTCGTTAACTAAACGAGCCGAACTCGAGCCATACCATGTTCAGCTCGAAAGCTCGCGAACAAGCTCATTTAATGGTTTGACATAAAAAAAAGGATTAGAATTCATGGATTTTATGTATTGAAATTGGGATAAATATTGTGTTTTACTTTGCTAGACTTTGTCACAGGTTAGAATGTAATTTTGTGCGCAGTTCTAGGTCAATCTTGAGCTATCATGAACATTTTATGAGCTGAACTCGAATTTGGGCTCGTTAAGCTTATTTGACGAGCCGAGCTCGAGCTTTCATTTTCATAAACGAGCCGAGCTCGAGCTTGCATATTAAAGCTCGTGACGAACACGAGCCGAGCTTGAGCCTGGAAATATATTAACGAGCCGAGCCCGAACTATGGCAAAACTCGGCTCGACTCGGCTCATTAACAGCCCTAGCGCCAAACAGTCTTAAAACATGTCCCCAGCCCCAGGGTTTCTCAACTTTATAACAATCCAAATATTAATGAGTTCAAGATTAATTACAGCTAGTACCAGTTTTGTGTGGTCTGAAAATCTCAAATATATAACCAATTATGACTGTAAAAGTGAAAAAATAAAGATAAATAAATAACAAGATCGAGAGCTTTGGTGGTTCCCAGCAGCACTGAGTCACTGACCCACCGCACCAAAACTAGGAACCAACTTTTGTTTGCTGTAAATGGTTTGATAGTTATGATTTGTGAGCTTTTGTTTCGTGCTCTTTTCTTTCCTCATTTGCCACCCTCCCCCACGTCAAGCCTGTATGTGTTTCACGGGTGGCGGGCCAATTACATAAATCACCACTAAAACTTCTGTTTGTGTAACTAATAGATCAATGTGTTAATTGATTGACCTTTATCCGGCGGGCCTGCTCTCAAGTTTTCGCCTTCACCCTTTTAAAGGATGATGTTAGAGAGTTGAATTAGTGCATCCATCTTGGTACAAGGCTCCAACTTAAATCCCAAATGGACGCTTGGGCGATAAATGACGAATGTCACATATTTCACCTTCGAACGTTCCTTAAAGTTTCATTATATTGAGATCGTGGTCTTGATCGATCCCCCGTCTTTCATAAAATTCTTTGTGTAAGTGGGTATTATTTTAATGGATGATGAAATTTTTATTAGAAAATAAAATGCTAGCAGCTCAACTCGAAGTAGAGCAAGGTAGCAACAGAAGAAAAGAACAGGGGAAAAAAAACACGTTGTGTAAGTGAGTTCCATACAAATGTATCGTCTCAACCCTTGCAAGAGTGTACACTCTAGGTTTTTAAGTCCCTGCAGCCTATTCGTTAAACTAGCATCGAAAGTCGGAATATACGTTCCAATACTAGTAATTGTCAGCGTGATATATATATATAGTTTTAGGTTTCCGATGATGTTGATAGTAAAATAACAAAGCGAAGAGCACGATAAGTAGCCATCAACCGAAGTCCTTGGAAAGTAAGAGTAACTTTATTGTTGCAAACAAGAGGCTCAAAATTTAGATCCACCGTAACAATTTCAAACTTTTTTCCCTTAGAAAGATGGAATTAGTTTGAGTGGTGGTTTTTAAGCGAGCTAAAACTTCAGTGACCATATATGCAAATATGCAATTGATCTTCACTCTACTTTAGTGACCATATATGGAAGGACAGGCGGTCTGGCCTGTTTCCGCCAGCCATGCAAACTTTTGGCATCCCAAAAGAAAGAGAATCAACTGACTGATCCCAAGCTAGCTAGCTAAAATCGGATATGGTTTTCAACAGCCAACAGCTTCATCAGAGCTCAGAGTCCTCCTCATCGTCACCAAGCGGCAAGACGTTGCCGGGAAATCAGCAGCACCAGCTGGCGGCGGAGATGCCGAAGAAGCGGACCGGGAGGAGGGTTTTCAGGGAGACGCGCCACCCTGTCTACCGAGGCGTGAGGAGCCGGAAAGGTAGCAAGTGGGTCTGCGAGCTCCGCGAGCCCAACACCGGGACGCGCGTCTGGCTCGGAACTCACGCGACCCCGGAAATGGCGGCCCGAGCTCATGACGTGGCGGCACTGGCGTACCGCGGGATGTCCGCCTGTCTCAACTTCGCCGACTCCGCCTGGCGCCTCCCCGTTCCCGCCTCCGCCGATCAGGAGGACATCAGGAGGGCGGCGGCGGAGGCCGCTGAGATGTTCCGCCCCGCCGGCCCCGCGACGCCGGCGGAACAGGTAGAGGAATGTAAGGACAATGGTGATGACATTGATAGCAGCAACGACACTAATATTGTTTTGCGTAAAGTGGAGGCTGAGGAGGAGGAGGAGGAGGAGGAGCTTGAGATGCCGAGGTTGCTGTCGGAAATGGCGGAAGGACCGCTGCTGTCCCCGCCGCCGAGCTATGGATATGGAGGCGGGCGGGGAGGCGTGGAGGAGAGCTGCGATTGCGACGCTAATGGTGGGTACGATTGGACGTTATGGAATCATTAGTTAGCTAGGGTTGGGTGTTTGTTTGTGGACTACTCAAAGAAAAGAAGCCATCGAGTTGCTGAGAGTGTGATCTGATATTTATATGTAATGTAATGAGTGTGAGCGCTGAGGGGCAGTGGTCAGAGATTCTGAGCCAAGTGATGGGAAACAAATATTGTCGTTTTCTGTGTTGTGTTTCCGGGAAATGGCTACTTGTTATATTGTGTTGTGTACTTTTGCTCTTTTGTTTGTTTTTTTATATGTTTGTTTGTTTGTGGGTGAAGTCTTGAAGAGAAAATCATGAGATATATATGCATAAGTCAAGTGCTTGTTAATTATGACTTTTGTTGTCTTCTTTTAACACATTGAGGTCGGCATATTTTTATCTTTTTATCGATATCGGAGGTCGTACCGGATTCAGCTGTAGTGTATTTTATGTTGAAATCATAGTTTAATTGTGCCTTTGTTTTCAGAATCGGATCGGAGGCTGAACCGGAATAGTTAGTGGTTTAAGGTTCAGTGACTAACCGTTACAAAATCGTTGGTGAACCGTTGATAGAACCGTTCATGATATATAACATATAAGACTTGTATATTACACCACTACAAGAAAAATGACAATCAGCGACTAAGTCTATTTGCTACGATAGGTGATTTATGTGCCTCTATAGCTCTATAGCAGCACATAATTGTGTGTTGTCAATACTGCTGCCGCTAAATCTCTTTAGCGACAGATGTTAGCGACAAATATTATGTGTCTCTAATTATTCATTCAAAGGCATTTATATTTACCTCTAAAAATATAATTTAAAAGCAAATAATTATTTGAATACCAATTCCCCAATAAATATATTAGCCGCAAAATATATCAATTAGAGGCAAATTCATTGCTTGTAAAAGGTAGTATTAGCGTAGCATTTTGGAATCAACTTGGTAGAATTGCAGACTAATGTAATTGTCGTCTGCTATGCTATCTTGCCCACATAACTTTATTGTTGTCACAATTACAATTTACTTATTAAAAAAGTAAGTAAATATTGGTAAATAAATATGAAGAAAAATCCCTCTTTTATTATATACTCGAGTCAATCATAATCAATTGGATTCAACCAAAACAGAATTCTCAACCGATAAAGCATACAAACAATAAACAAACTACAAAGAAACTATTGGCTGCAACGTGATTCTATAGGCCTCTCATCCTTAAATATTGAAAGTCATTCGGCATGAAGCATACTTCAAAATCTTGTCCGGTGATCGAGCCTGTTGTTGCTGCGAAACCAAAACAACACCAATCAGTTAATTAATTCAACATAACAATTTGAATTACAAATAGTCAGCAACTTGACCATAAAGTTCAGCAGGGTACGTACTTAGTAATCTCCTCAACGATTCCACAATGAAAAAAAGAAACCATGATCCTCATCGTCAATGCAGCCACCAGCCCACCCTTGTTCATCAAGTGTTCTTGACGTGGATTTAGGCACCCTAAACTAAACCAAACCAATTGATTTTCGATTGCGGGCTACCTGCAAAGGAAACAAAGCAAGCGGTCAGAATTGAGGGGATGCCGGAGACGCAAAGTAGTTTGACGGCCATCTGCGAGGCTCAATTAGATGAGTGAGGAGGATATAAAGAGGGAAGGATCCATACAGCACCCCATGTCGATTACAATGGCTGTCACTCGACGATGATTCGGCGGTTGATCTTGATGGGAATAGCCCTAAGAAATTATGGGGAAAAGAATAATCTGTGCATTAAGGGATCGGAGATTTACAATTTAGGGTTGCATAAAAGCCCCTTTAAAAAATCATTTTGAATTCACGATAGTTACGACGAGCCGAGTTTTCAGCCCTCTCTCCCCGCCCTACACAATAACTAATGTAAAAAATAATATTTTAATTTCAATTTCCAATCAATTCCTTTTTTATCATACTATTTTAATAGGTAACGCAATTAGAGGCGAATTTATTTGCCAGGGAAAGATATGTTTAGAGGCAATTAATTATCTGATTCTTCTAAATTTATTGTTATAAATAAAATAAAACTAAAAGGGTATAGCAGTTTTTTTATTTATCTTGGAAAATTTGATTTTCCCGAAGGATAGGTTTCTGCCTCTAAAAGGAAATGATTAAGGACTTTAAAAGGCAATTACCATGTATTAGACGGTAAAAGATTAATTTATTTTCAGTAATAGAAAATTTAGGCTATTGACGACATATTTTGATGATTTTAGCGGCACATTATGTATTTGCTGCTATTTAATACTTTTGAAGGCTTTTAAAATATTTGTCACTATAGTTTAGCCTCTAAAAGTCAATTCTCTTGTAGTGCACTAATTTAATAATGAAGTTATCATTGACCATAAACAATTTCAAATTCATATCAGCACCAAAATATCTAATAAATCATTCAAACCATCTCACAAAAGAAATCATATTTTTTAATTCAAATTAAAAATTATTGTGCCAGTCGGGATTGGACAACGTAAAGCCGTCAACAAGGTTGGAATGATAAGATAAAACATTAATAAAAATAATAACTATCGTCTGCTGGTCTTAGTTTATGTTTAAATTTTTTTTATTGTTAAAATAGTGAACTTGTGAACCAATTAAACCGTGCTGGTTCATCTTATTTTATGTTGAACCGTGAAAAGTCTTTTGGTCCACCAATAACCGTTCAAGCAATGAACCGGACTGCTATTGTAACTGGTTTGGCTGTTCTACTGACCCAGCCGTTGATCCAGTTCGGTTCCTATAACAATGGGTTCAACCATTTCATACCGTTAAATATCGCCTAATGTTTTCGCTTTCGATAGTAGATTTTTTTGGTCGAACCGCCGGTATGTTACGATGTTTAAATCTTTAATTTTATGGTGATTTATTTTTTGATATTGTTAGTTTTTAATTAATAGCGGGGTTTGATTTAAAAGTTTCTTAATTTGATGAGCTCGGGTTATATGATGAAACTCAAAAACAGAGCAGTTTATATAACTTTATTGGTTTGACATAATTTAAACAATAAAGAGGTCATTAACGAATCGGTGTGCATCGTAAATATATAAGAACATAATAAGTGAAATACCTATAAAACACACTAGATCATGATTTTATGACCTTATATTGCAATTAGAATTTAGAAGCCTACTATTTCATGAAAATTAAAATTATGCAATAATAATATAAGTGACTTTTTGGAAATAGAAACTATTTAATGTTAAAAGGACATTTTAACTTTTTATACCCAAGTGTATCATTTATAAATAGAAAAGATGTGTTATAAATATTTTGTTGCATTAATCAATAGTATCACTGTCTGAGAGCATCTAATTTGACACTCAAGAGGTGGGTGGTTTGAAACCATCATCATAATAATTTCTTGGTTCATTTTTTCATTATCAAAAATTATTTTTTTGGTTTGTTTTTCAATTTGGTTGTTTTTAGCTTTGAGTCGGCTACTCGACCGTTATCCGGCCGACCTGCTCTCTACTGGGAAAATAGAACAGACTGTTAGAAAAACCGTGGTCCAAAGCGTACCGCACAGTTTGGTCCGGACCGTAGACCGTTAAGTATGGTATGGTCTGGTCCATGGTCTGTATTATTTTATGTTTTGATTTCTTGGTCTGGTCTGGTCTAGACCGCGGTTTATCGGACCAAACCGTGGACCCAATCGACTTGTCAATATGTGTTAACAGCCCATTCGACCACTCTCCCAACTCTCACAACGACACCGAAGTCTCAACCTTAGTTTTATGAATCTCGTCTCTCCTTCATTCACAAACACATTTAACCAGAGAGTAGAGATAATCATGTCTCCATATGACATTATGTTAATGTTTACGACGTTATGGTGCAAGTTGGGATGTATCTTTGGTATGTACCAAGATTTAGGTTATCAAAATTATTCATGCAAGTTAGGATTAATGTTTTAAGTGAAATAACAATTATTTTTCTTGATTATTGGTTCAATTTTTTGTGTGGTTGACTAAACAAATTGCTCATTTTTCGTTGAGTGTGGTCTATCTGGACCAGACCATACCGAACCAGACCGCACAGGCGTGATCTGGACCGGACCGTATAGTCTGTGGTCTATACTTCAGCCGCTCGAGATACGAGCTCACACGAGAGAAGAATGAGGTGGGTGAGGTATGGGTTTCTGAAAATTCGGGTTTGAACCGGCGAAAGAGAAAGAGTTTCACGGAAGATGGAGGGACGTGACAGATAAGGAGATTTGGGGAGAAGACCGGAATGGCCTGCCGCTCAGAGAAACTAGGTTCGGTGCTGGGCGGCTACGACAACGACTCAGATTTGCAAGTCGAGATGGTGGTGGCCTTCATGGTTTCCATGAGATGAAGAGAAGCAACAGGAGAAAACTAGATCTATATTCTTAGGTTCATAAGAGAAAGAAAAGGAACGAAAGTTAGAATGGACTATTGTGACGGAAAATGGGTTGTGACGTTGATTCAGATCTGTCGGCTCCGTGAGATGGTCGCGGTGATAAAATTGTTTTGATATTTAGAAATTTGGAGGAGATGGCGATGATTTGTGCCGGAAGGCAGTAGGCACTGTGGAAAGAGATGGATTTGGATTTTGGGTTCTAGGAAAAGGGTTTTGTGGTTTGGGTGGTGAATGGAATGGTTTGGGGGAAATTAAGAGGGGAGAAGGTGAGTGGAAGGCAAATTGAGATGGACGTATGGTGGGTTTGGATTTGGAGAAGAGATGTAATGGAGACGAAGAAATATTTTTTTAGGGTTTTATGACCTGAAAATTTCAGATATGGACGTAGTACTTACTTTAGGTAGAAGATCTTTAGGATTCTCTAGGAACTATACTGTGATACTATAACAACAAATATGAGTTGTGGAAAATGAGACATTAGAATTCTTGGGTGTTTTTCGTTCATATTTTGGGTTTAAATAGCCAAAGTCTTGAACTACAAAACAACATATGTGCAATTTAGCATTTGGATTTTGGAGACATAACAAAGATAAAAGCGTAACAACATTGACAATAAAACTAATC